ATAGAAAATAATGCTCCTTCAACATGAGACTGTGAAACATCGACTGAGTTTAGATATGATCCCTATGGCCATGTAATTACAGGGGACCTCAACATAGTTCAAGACCGAGAGGTTATAAACTTTCTGAAAAAAGGACCAAAATATCGTCCACCGTCGAAAATAAATTGGAAAGAGTGTCGTCAGGTTATTATAGATGCTCTTTCATCCTACTGTAAAAAAAATGGTGTAAACGGGAGAAATATGACAAAAGGTCACTTGAATCCTATTTAAATAAATGTCTGAATATTGTTGATATTCGCATACCACGTTTCGAAAATAATTTAGAAATAAATAAAAGAAAGTAATACGCCCATTTCTAGGATTAAATTCAAGTACTCTTAAAGCGTTTTGTGTTCGTACCGGCCGACAAAGCAGCCAACACTGTGATGATGGTATGACGTAAATACTACACAGAAGTCCTTAAGAATGAAATTATACATTTAGCTACATAAAATTAAATAAATAAATAATCTTTATTTCAAGAGGATAATCCCATTAGTGAAAACTAATCTTCCTGAGAGTCCTCAAAATAATAATAACATATTTATAAAGTGCATTCAATATTATAATGATATATGCACAATATACAATTTTATATAGATATTAATGAAAAAGCATATTAATTTGCACAATTTATGAAAACATTTGTAACATTTTGTTTTAAAAGATACAAGTGTATTACTCATCTTTATTTCATTTGGTAAACTGTTCCATATTTGAGAACCAGAATATATAAATGTTTTCTTAAAAAAAAAATGTTTTTGGCTTTCGAAGATGTAATAGCTTTTCATCAGCTGAACGTGAATTATAATTTTGATTATCAGTAAAATGAATGTTTTCTTGTAAATAGTTAGGAACCATATCCTTTAATGATTTAAATACAAGTATTGCCTTTTGATATTGAATTCGTTTTTCCACATTTAACCATTTTAAACTATTAAACAATACACTGGAAGATGTCATTATGTCAGCTTCTACTATAACCATAGCAGATTTCTTTAATAACTTATTAAGTTTGTTTATTCCACTTTCATATCAACAACCCCATATATTGCAACAATAATCAAACAATGGCAGATTATAAGCATTAGAATAAATGATACGTTTATGCATAGGTAAATACTTTCTTATCTTTTGTAATAAGTTGATTCTATTTGATATTGTACATGACATTTTATCTATTTGCTCATTCCAATTTAGGTTTTTGTCGATACATAAACCAAGAAGTTTTTCACAATCTACATTCTCTATTTGTTCATCTGAAATATTGATATCTAAACTGTTCCCAGTTGAATAAAGCCTTTCTTTTGAACCAATTATCGTTGATTTACATTTTTTGGCATTTAGTTAAATATTAAGTATTAGTTCAAGGCCGTACGCTCCACAGAGAGTCATATAGTAAATAATCATGTCACTACCACAGCTCAGCTTAAGGCCTCCTTTGAACATTTGAAGGTCCCCACTATGTATTGGTTACCTAAACTACACCAAAAAACCCCGTAAAATATCGTTTCATCTCGGCCTCTAGTAAGTGTTCTACTACTAATCTTTCGGTGCTTTTAACGAGTTCCTTAACTACTATCAAAGAACTTATCATTCATTTTTGTAAAAAAAAAATATGAAAATAGTGGAATTAACCATTTTTGGAGTGTAAAAAATACTTTGGATGTTTTAAAAAAATTACGCGCATTTGAAGGTCCTTTTGATTCGGTGGACAGTTTTGACTTGTCCACTCTTTATACTACACTTCCACTCAATCTTATTAAACAAAATTTTCCTATCTATTTTAATGGTCGTTTGATAAATCTGATTGCAAAATTATTTGCTGCAAATCATATAAAGCCTTTTTCTCAATTGAGAAAGGTAAATATGCTAGATATACTTACTGGAGGTATGATTAGATGATTAAAGCCGTAAATTTTCTCCCTGACAACATTTATGTACGTTTCGGCAATACAGTTTATCGACAGGTTGTATGTATGTTCCTATACTGTTATGAATCACAGTTTATGGCAAAACTCAGCAAAGAACAGTCTAAATTCTATTTAATTGATAATTAATTCTTGATGATATTGTTTTCGTTAAATAATCAAGAATTCTCTAAATATGCTGCTGAAATTTACCCAAAGGAACTTACTTTAAATAAACCAAATATTTACAGTGATAATTGTCCTTTCATAGATTTAGATATTTCAGTGTTACACCAGAAACTCTACACAAAAATTGGGGATGATTTTTCTTTTCCTAGTGTTAATTTTCATTTTTTGGACGATGATGTTCCTTTGGCACCGTCTTACGGTGTTTATATATCCAAACTCGTTCGTTAAGCCCGTGTCTGTAGTGACGTTTTGGATTTCAATGAGCTTAATCTATGTATTATTAGAAAATTATTGTGTCAATGATTTCGTTACCACGCATTAATTAAAACCTTTACTAAATTCTTCCATAGATACAAAGATTTGGTTTGCAAGTTTGGCTGTACCTGTAGAAAACTTATTTCAAACGGAATAGCACATCCTAAATTTCACGGTGATGTTGTTAACCGAGCCCGGAAATTTAGATACGATCGGGTAAACATATCAATCCTTTATATAAACTTATTCTGAAAGGTCACCAATTCAACACTGTAATAAATCTTTGAATATTGTTTTCATTGGTATGAATATTGATTTTGTAATCAGTAAATTAAAACCATACTAAATATGATTGTTATAAATATATGTTATTTCACGGTACTACAATCTGTCGATATCTATATTTTAGCATTGCACAATGTCATGTTTTTCTCTGACTGTTAATGACGTCTTTACACTAAATCCATTGGATGTTAGATGTATACTGATTGATATTTTAGTCTTAAATACACGATTTGTTTTGTTAGTTGTTATTGGCCTTGAACTAGCTGTCAGTAACTACAAGTACTATCAGATCTGTACTTAATGTCTTTTTGTTGTTAGGGATGAGGGATGGATACATACCCTGCCACGTCCGGTCCGTGATTTTGTATGATGTTTTTCTGCTTTGTATCGATCTGATGAGTTAAGCCTTTTTCGACAGATTTTTATAGTTTGTTCTTAAGTTGTGCTGTTACAACACTGTCCCAGTTTAGGGGAGGGTTGAGCGCTCACAAACATGTTTAATCCCTCCACATTCTTTATGTGCCTGTCCCAAGTCAGGAGCCTGTAGTTCAGAGGATGTCGTTGGTTCATTGTCTGTCATATTTTTTTTTCGTAAATTATTTTGTTATAAATTAGGCCTTTATACAGTTTTCTCAGTGGAATTGTTTCATATTTGTCATGTCGGGGCCTTATATGGCCGACTATATGGTATGGGTTTTTCTCATTGTTGAAGGCCGTACGGTTGCCCACAATTGCTTACATTCACTTTATTTGAACTTTGGTGGATAGTTGTCTCATTGGCAATCATACCACATCTCCTTATTTTTATATTCATCATTTAAAAAACATCCGTCTTTTTTATGATAATGTTCCTCTTCGGGAGGATTTACTTATAGTACAATGAAAGGATTAAGATAATTATTAATGGAATCAAACTTATGTGTTGTCTTTTCCTATATGTGAGCAAATTGAATATTTCTTTTATCAAATATTATCTTTTTAATACTTGGAGGTTCACATTGCAAGTAACCTCATGTCGATTAAAGCTTGACATGTTTTCAATTGTCGAAGATCGTATGTATCCTGATATCTAAATAAAGAGCTGCGCCATGAACGCATGATACGCCCGTCGCTTTTTCAAAGAATAAAGTTCCATAACTCCTCAATGTCATATCAGAAATTTATAAAAAAAAACTAAAGGGATGTTATTTTAATAGATATAAAACAGTCACCAAAGTTTTATGAAAACTGCTCAAAGCACTTTTGAGTTATTGTCCGAAAACTGGAAAATCCCATTTTTTATGAATAAAACCCCATAACTCAGAATCTAAAATTTATAAAAATCGAAAGGGAGCTGACGTCACTAGATACATGTATAAACAATTCACCAAAGTTTCACGAAAATTGCTTAAAGCATTTTTGAGTTATTGTCCAAAAACTGGAACCCCCCTTTTTTAATGAATAAAACCCCATAACTCAGAATCTAAAATTTATAAAAATCGAAAGGGAGCTCATGTCAATAGAGATAAACAATCCACCAAAGTTTCATGCAAATTGGTTAAAGCGTTTTTGAGTTACTGTCCGACATGTTGACGATGGACGGATGGACAACGGTATACCATAATACGTCCCGTAAACGGGCATATAAAAACGATTCGTTTTCTTAAACAACATATTATCAAGAACATTTAGCAATTATACAATTCATTTTCTATGTCTAAAGTCTAAAGTTATTCAATTAAAACGACAACATTTGTCGAAGGTCGACCATCATAATGATTTAAAATATTTTATTAAAATAAATATTGCCTGCAGCGTACTGAAAACATCTTCAAAGATAGCTTGGCTTATGAAGTAGTACGCCAGACGCAAGTTTCGTATACACAAGGCTCATTAGTGGTACTGTTGAAATGCCAAATCTATTACGAAATACTATATAACTGAAAACCAAAAATTCCAAGTTTTGCAATGTCTTGCTTAGAACATCTAAGCCTTTGGGTAGAACACCTTAGTGTTTCGAAGGATTTTAACATTATATGAACATTAAATTTACAGACAATGACCGCCTCAATGATACTTCCTGTCATCATTGCATGGAGGGCTGTATACTAGGCCCTTGATACCTTAGAGGGGAGACTCCGCCATTAGTGTTATCGACCCAGTTATGGAAGTTATTTACATCTAAAAATAATCGATGAAATTTATATTTCCACAAATGTTGTAAGTTAATTGCTAAATGCTGATTTAAAAATCTTTAGACATATCTTAGATGGTTATTAAATTGATGGTCACCCATTATATATATGGAAAGTAAAACCGAAACTAAAATTCAATAAATGAATTAAAAATAGATTAGAATAAATTTACACTGGGAATTTCTTTTTTCCGAGGACGTGTCAGTGACAGGGTTCTAAATAAAGATTTACTTGCCTATATATGATAAAATAAAACAAATAAGTTGGCAAAACAACACACAAAAGACGATGAGAAGGCGCAATAATCGTAGAGAAAGTATACACAGAGAAGTGAGATGCTTTGGATATTTTCGTTGTAGATGTTGTGACCATGAATGGACAAGCTCATTTGTCTGGAAAATGTCTGGAACGTTAAAGGTATTGATAACTTTCAAATTCCAAAAGTTTTCAATATTTAAACTAATTTATTTTTAGAAACTGACCGAGATGCTTAATTTGTTGGTGCTTGTTATTATACATGTTATAAAGAGTATAGTATTAGTGATTGATTGATTTCTGTTTGCTTAATCATCATTACGTCCAATTACAAAAATAGCATGCATAGTCAGGAACTTAAAAGTAATGCAAAAGCAAGGTTTTGCAAAGTTGGTCGACCAAGATAAATGGCGAGAAATTTACACAGCCACTAAAGAGTAGAGTATGTAAGCTTTACAACAGGCCACCTATTTCGTTCTTTCGTGGGTTCTTAAATGTGCAAAGAGGGTGTACTTGTTCTCATACGAGACATCCGATAAAACCACAATATTCCGACTTTGACGTGGCTGTGTATTTATACAACCAACACAGTCAAACGGACTGCATGACATTTACTGTCGGATGGAATAAGCACAGATGAATGTTTTTGTAAGGCGAAATGCCGGCAATGGTTATTCTTTTCCTATGTGTATTGAAAGTGGATCAAATAACACATAACTGAATAAGCACTAAGCCTAAGGTACATATACACTATTATGATACAGAAAGCATTAAATTATGAAACGCATGTACATATTTAGTCTGAGTATTTTTTTCTAAATGAGTTTTATTATAAAAAAAAATGATTGGATGTTTTTCAAGCGCGAAAAAGACATTATGCTATTTAAAAATAAAATATGGTGAAGTGATAGACTAAAACGACCGATTATATTGGATGGCTTTGTAATATATATTCCATTTTCTTCAAGGTTCTATATAAACAACAGTGCATGGAGTGTGATGAACTTATGGGGCCATACAAAACAACACCTCTTATTTGTTCCGGTTGCGGGATGGTGAATTGTGAGTGTGAAGAGGTCAATTCTGAACCGAAAAAGCCGCACCTGTCAGAGTTATGTGAAAGGTGTCAGTCAGGAAAAAAATGTCAATTATCACTAGAAAAATGTATCTTCCCTTGTTCTAAGCGTGGTGGAAGAAGATATCGCCATTGATGTTAGCATCTAAAACACATTTACAATATATTGGAAATGTTTATTAAATTATTTGTTTCTTATCAAATATTATATCACCTTAATAATAAGTCAGGTTTTGGACTCGAGCATCACTGAAGAGACGCTAATTGTCGCAACGCGCATCTGGTTTAGTACCATTGGTACCGTTTATGGTAGCATTAATAGCATTAATTTTCCATCCGCCGTCTGTCTTTTCACCATTTCATTTGAAAATACTGGGCTAATTCAATCTAAACTGAATCCAGATAAAACAAGTGGCTTTCTTTAAAAAAAGAAAAGCAATACCTGAACCTAAGACCGCTGACTGGTCACCAAAAGACTGTTGCTGAATTTTTATTTGCTTTTGAATTGAAATAGTTGACTGTGAATAGAAGGAGATAATGATGAAGTTAAACTACCTTTATTAAAAATATGTAATAGTGTGTACATTCTTGCACAAGTCAGTTGAAAGCAATGTTGGATAGGTGTGAATAGAAAAGTGTATATACAGCTACTATTTGAATATACATTTTAAAGCTCGACTATTTCATTTATTACTTGGGATTGTACATCATTTCTTTATAATTCTATTGCAAATCCCAGTTTCTACAAGTGTATAATGCAAATTGCACAAACCAATCGCAATATAAATGTAAGCACTCAGTTTGTTTATAATCTTGATGCATTTATTTTATCTATCACATCTTTATATTTTGTTTCCTGCATGGATGCCTTCATATTCTCAACTCGTTATTGAAGTTGTCTGTACTCATGGTAGATGTTGTACAGATAAATTTAGTCCATTTTCCATGTGAAGTGAAACCCTGTGGCATGCAACTTATATCTCAAAAGAACCAATTTATATAAAAAGACATGTAGATATAAAAAAAAATACCAGGATTAACATGTTGTACGCCAGACGCGAGTTAAGTCTACAAAGAATCATCAGTGACGCTCGAATAAAAATAGTTAAAAAGGCCAATTAAAGTACGAAGTTAAGTAATCTATTCCTTGGGTAGAAAATACTTGGCATTTCGATAATGTCAATGTTTATAAAAGGACAGTGACTCAAAAAAGAAAACAAAAGAGAAACAGCTAGAGGTCAGAATACCGTAAGTAATGATGACCGTGCTTGAAAGTCACATGGCAAGCTTTTACTGCCGTGTCCTGAATTTAGATAAGAAAAGCGAAAATTCGCAATCGCGAGTGAAATTAATATTTATGCATGAACATGGTATTTTTGCGCAAGAAATAGTAAATAGAAAGCATACGCACTGATACTCTGGATAAGAATACGCATTTGCGTCATCACATATTTTAATCTAATAGTTGAATTCGGATGTCAAACTTCCTACCTCAAGTGTTTTGACTCCGGATTCATTGACATTTTATCCGGAATTTTTGTGAACGCAAACCGATAGTGTGCGTGTTAACAGGGTGATGTATAATGTGAAAGAATCAAGACGTGTAGGATAGCTGACCAACACAATGAATACAATTTTAAAAACCGTACCATAGTACAAATATTAAGATGCTATAAGGTTGAACTAATAAAAGAAAAAAAAAAAAGAAACAAAAATAATTAACATTATGATAGTAATTAAATTTTGTTATGATTATTGTAAAATATTAATTACGTTTTTTGTGAGATGCAAGGATTTAAAATCTTTGTGAATTGAAACCACGCAAGTATTTTTTCATTCACGACCGTTTAAAATTTAGATCTAACTTTGGGTATGCATCCCTGCTCATAAGTTACATATAATTTTCATAAATGTAATGACTGATCAAACCTGTGAGACATAATGCAGGTATACATTACAATTTTAATTATATTCTATAATTATTAGGAATAAATTCAGTCTCAGATTAACCTTAACAATAAATATTCAATTAGTCTGGTAGTATCTATTAATGAAATTAGATATTTTTTTACAGAAAAATCCTTTTGTTTGATTATCTTTCTGCTTTCCGACCACTGTGTTTTCGACCTTTAAGTTAGATAAATATGTTTAACAGAAATATCGTTTTCTTAATTTTCTTCATTCTTTCCGACATTTTGTCATGCTATGATTGAAATACTTAATATCAAATGATAAACGTTCAGAAATAATCAGTTTATTCTGGGTCATTGTATATCAATAAACTATTCACAGGTTTATTAAATACAACACACACAACGCGTAGAGTGACCGTCTCAAAGCATGAATTATATAATTGCGTTATCATTATACTTGATATTCAATAAACATTCACATTATTAAAAACATATATGTTTTGTCAAAAGGCAAATAGGTTCCAACATATAAATGATTTTTAGAATGCAACCTAGTCTTTATTGTTTGACTTTCAAATCTACAAATGAACCGTTTGTCGGATTGTTGAAATATACAATGTCACGTTGTAGCCTATCCATAGAGGGACCGTATCAAAGACATAAATAACTACCTATATAAATGATGGAAAATTTTCGAGACTTTCCGAGAGTCGTGATTCCGAGGATATCGAGTGGCCCATAGACACTTCCAAAACTCGCCAATATATAAACGTGAACCCCTCAGGGGGTTCACGCAAAAAATGCTTCAGCAGACAGTTGTTTCTTCTGGTTGCTTATTTTTAATCTTATTTTCTTTTTGAACCACGGAGTCAAATATTTTCAAACTTCGATAAATGAAAATCCTTTAAATATTGTTTATCTCACCTTGACACTGTTCTTTGATATATGTATGTTGTGTATAAGATGTAAGTTTGTACAAATTAAAATTTGTACAGGGTTTTTGTACAAGTTATAAGTTTTTTGACACACACCTTTTTGCACCGGGTGATCAAAGTTTATCTTCTAAAATTTATCAGCTCAATGTCTTAAATTCAAATTTATAACACTTCAAGCTAACATTTAGTGCTATACTCCTTGTCCTAAAACGGCTGTCCTAAAACTGGAAATAAGGACACCTGAAGGGTTTAAATTCTATTTGTATTTGTCTCCTTATACCAAAGTCATATCCATAAAAAGTCTTTTTTGTGTTCTTATAATGTTTTTTGTAGCAATGCTCAGTATTAGACTGTGTCAAGTAGTCATGGAAATATGACAGCAATATGCGAAACAAAAGATTGTGTGCTTTTATCATCCATTTGTGTTAAGCGGTTCATAAAACACTGATAACTTGTACAAAAATTCTGTACAAATTATAATTTGTACAACATTACAATTTGTACACAACATATACATGGCCGTTACATAATCGGGGGTAACCAATTATTTCCACTAAACTGATTAAGTTTATCACTAACCTTGCATGTTGTCCTACAGAGTACACTTCAAGATAAGTTAAGTTTATATTGCAGTAGTTGGGGTTTAACAGTAAATCTTGAAAAAAACAAAATGATTTTTAACCAATTTGGTAATAAACTTACAAAAGACGAGTTTGTTTTTAATGATAATGTTTTGGAACATTATACAGAATATAAATATTTAGGTATAGTGTTTAAACCCTCTGGTATCTTTATTGAGGCGGTGAGAATGATATAATTAGAATTATTGTAAAATTCACAAGTGACATGTACAATATTCTAGAAATGCTTTATTAAGTAATAAATAACTTTGTAGTACCACCTCCTCAGCGGAGACTAGATTATACATATATGTATATACAATTATATATATTAATGTAACAATATTTTCTTTTTTTAATAATGGAGGGCGTATACAAATTTATATATACATGTACTGTATATAAATGTTGACAGATATGTGTATGTAAAGTTATGTATAGCCAATGTTTATTGTCAAATTTGGTACAAATCCTATAATTTTGAATTTTAAACCAATAAAATATCTTATCTTATCTTATCTTATCTCTAATCATAACAGTTTCAAGCAAACACGAAACCATGAAAAATTGACAAATCAAAGATAAAAGTACCAACAATAACGGATGGATTGCATAAATTACTTTATTTGTATCGAGATTAATGCTACTTTAGTTGCCGAATAACCCTATTGGAATTGCATTTCGATGCGTGGCCATTCTGTTCCTAATTTGATAGGAACTTAAAATAAAGAACCTATTATTTATTCTTTATTTCATTCCAATAGGCTGAACAACTGGACTGTTCGAAGCACCTCTAGGTTCTGATATGTCAATTAGAAATATTTCAATTTTCATTGGAGCAAAAACTCAGAAATTTGATTCCGGAGTCTTGGTGACTGTGGTACCGTATAGGTCATTATTAAAAAGATCCCTATAAAAAAGGTGACATTTTACTCGATGAATTCGAATGGAATTTGCGTGAAGAATGTAGGGAAGGTCTTTTACAAAAGTACTAATTTTGTTATGATCGTGAGAAAACTAAGGCCTGGAGTAAAATATCAAGATCCAGAGTGGGTCTCCATTTAACCATTCCAAATGTCTCGCTCGTAGATAGATTAAATATCATCTGTAAATGAATGATTAAATGATACATAGAGATGCATATTTTCTCAAATGCCTCGTTGATAAATTAGAAGTTATTTAGGAAGTAAGGCTCCAACTCCCTCAGGCAAGGTTGACTTGCGATGAATTTGGCTTTTTAAGTCATATAGCTCCTAACGTTTCTTTGTATTTATACATCCCTGGCTTTCAAATAGCTTTAGGCGTTCCTGGTGAAGGCTAATCCATAAAAGCGATTCGCACATAATTTAGAAAGCAGGACCAATGTATGCTGGCTACTGCAAGAAGCTTGCTAAGGTATCTACATAGGTTGGTTGATACTGTCCTTCAAGAAAAGAAAACAAAAAATGACAAGCAACACTCCTAATAGGTTTCATGTAGTTTCATTTTTAAAATTTAATTGAAAACGTAAGTATTTGTGAATGTCCGGCAAGTAATTTAAAATAAATCGTCAGGCCATCGGAAGAACGATTTTAACTAATGTAAGAGATTTCCCGAGTTAAAATATATATTTTTCAGTGTTTTAGTTCTATCAAAGACACCATTGATGACATAAAATATCAATGATTTTCTGTAACATCATTGCAGTTAAATTACATTTGAAAACGATGAAAACGATGAGGGATTTTTATACCCAAATAGATGGCCTATGGCCAGATTTGGTTGACTTTTGAAATTTTTGGGTTTCAATGCTTTTCAGCTTCGTAATGGATTTGTTTTTGTTTACTGTTCAAGAACCACTGATGAGTCTTGTGTATTCGAAATGCTCGTCTTGCGAACAAAATTATAAGTTTGGTATCTTTGATTAATTTTAAACCGAAGAACTGATTAAGAAGTGCTTCATTCCAGAATGCTAATGTTTGACAGCTTATATGTATTAGAGTGTGTAAATTAGTTTGCTGGCTTTTTATGTGAAATTAACATCAGCTTTGAATACTTATGGAAAGAGTAATTATTGATTGTCATTCTTAACCAATCAATTCACAGAACCGATAACAATCATGTTGCACGAAGAAGCAGTTTGACCAGTTTGTTTTTATATTTTCGGTATCGATAAAAGAATTCATGGTTCACCAAGCAAATAAGTAACCCGAATTTTCTATGTAACTATTAACACTCCCACGTGGTTTAAATGTAAACATTGAATTGATTGATTAGTGATTTCTTTACGCCGTATCAGCACAAAAAGGCTATATCGCGACGAGAGCGAATTCAAAACAATCCGTACAATTCAAATGTCATGAGAGGGAAGGCAACTCAAACACACCCAAAGGATATAATCACTACATAAGCTGTTAAAGGAAAACACTGTACAAAACATAGACAAATATTTTTACTCTTTGAAATAAACCATTGTAAGTTTTCTTGCTTGTCTGTCTATCTACATATCTACAGCTGATACACCACCACAGTATGCAACACGAACCCCAACAAAAACTGGGGGTGATCTAAGGTGCTCCGGAAAGGTAAGCAGATCCTGCTCCACAAGTTAGTGTCATATTTCAATAAAAGATAAGTATGAATCCTTTCCTATCATTGAAACAATTTGTAAATGATTCTTCACTGTTTATAACAGTTTAGGGGAAATATGGCTTGCCACTTTCACTTCAAATGTTTGTTAAATATGTATTCCTATATCTGAAACAGTTTGGAAAGGGAGAATCCTATCTCACTAACATTTAGGTAAAATGTGTTCATTGGTGTATCTCAGTATGAGTTTGGAAAGGATGTTTACCTACTTCTATTAGTTTGGTAAAATGTGGTGTAACCTTTATGGAAGTTTTGAAAGGAAGAATTCCTCTTACGAGGTTTTGTTACATTATTTTGGGTTTAAATCATTTTAATCGCTCATTATTACCAGGGAAATTTTGTTAGTGGAGAACTTAGCAAGTGATCGGTGTCACTTCCCACTTTGAAAAAAACCCTCTCAAACCAATCACATGTCAAGTCTGAACCTGCTCCACTTCCTCTGTAATGACCATTTTTAATAGTAAGTTGATGGGTGAATGCTGAACAAATTCAGCACTCCGCATCGAAGTTACTTTCGGAATTTTGGGTCCTAAATGCTCTTCAACATCGTTAATTATTTGGCCTTTTAACTTTTTTGATTCCAGCATCACTGATGAGTCTTTTGTAGACGAAACGCGCGTCTGGCTTTCAAAATTATAAGCCTGTTATCTTTTGTTGACGTTTTGTTATATACTGACCGACCTTAGAAACGCAACACTAGATTATTCTTTTTAATTCCCATTTTCAAATATGCAATTTTTGCTAAACAAATATACGAACATATATTTCATTCATTACTTCATTGTTTAAAAGAAAATTGCAGTTCGAAAGTTGAATTGGTAACGTCATTTTTAATTTTCAAATCATGTGGTATGCACTGAAACCCTGGTTTTCCCCTTGCCAATGGATGTGTCACCGTCGAAAGCAATGACTGCCTGTAACCAACGCCAAAATGATTGTCAGAAAGGTCAACCAATTCTGTTCGGCATGTTTTGGGTTCTGTTTTGCACCTTAAGATTTTGCCTTAGTCCCACCCATTACAGTGTGTTTTGGCAATTATACGGTTGAAACTTTAGGGCTTTAAATGTTTTTCTGCAGTCGATTCTTTGGCATTTCAGTTTATGCGAAACATTTATGGCATGAATCTGTGTGCCATGGCATTCGGCAATTTGATTAGGAGTTGACGTTGATGCCGTAAACATGTCTCGCAAATGACGTTGCGTAATCAAATTCTATTGACGTGGCCTTGTCACTACATATTGATCTGGTCATTGATGGTCATCAACAAATCCCGTCTGCCTGTATCGTTGTTGGAAGGACAGTAAGACGAGTTTCTGACGTCAAACTGTCTGGTTACAACACGTTCATGTTTTCCTCTCTGCAATGATTCTTATGGGCTGATTCAGTTTTTTATTGCTCAGTCTTGGCAATACGGAGATGCAAAATCGTTTAACTGATTTAAGTGTGGGTATGGATTGAAAGAATTGTTTCACGAAGAAAAAAAAAATGAAAAAATCGTTTATGGGTTCCAAATTTCGCTTTAAGAAATTCGTGCGACTTCAATAACTCAGTATGTTCAATAACCACAGGTAAGTCAGATGTTGATTTTTTCTTAACAGAAAGAAGTATGGTAAGCATGAATAGTAGTTGTATGAGGATCAAACATGATTTGGTTAAAAAAAATCAACAAAATGAGTGTTGCGTTTTTAAAGTCAGTCAGTATATGTCATGACGACGGTTTCGTTTGTTTCATTCATCTACCCTTTCACGAGCTTGGTATAGAGACATGTTTGTTCACATGACTTAAAATTAACGAATTAAAATGGTATTGAAAGGTGCATGGGCCTCGGTGGCCGAGTGGTCTAAGTAGCCGAACTTTTGTATCACTAGCCTATCAACACTGAGGAATATGATTTGGAATCCCGCACGTGGCAGGTGCGCTTGACTCCAATCTCAATCAAATAAGATTGTCAGTTTTCCTACCGAAGGTCGATGGTTCTCTCCGGCTTCTTCCACCAATAGAAACTGACCTCCACGAAATAGCACAATAGTGCTGAAAGTGGCGTTAAACACCAATCAATCAAAGAAGTGATAACACTATTTATTTTTTATTTATAATGTATATGACCGGAAGTAACTTTATTTCTTTATTGAATCTTTTCATTAAAGAGACTTTGTAAGTTCCAGTTTCTAAGCCAAATAAAAAGTCTTAAAGCAGCACAGTTTGCCTCGAGTTGATGTGAGTGTCTTTACACCCAGATATCACTTCCAATATCTGGTGTGGTGTTGAGACAGCTGTATCCATAGAAAAGTAAGCACTGTTCAGTTTTATAGACAAATGCTGTACAATTGGTTCCATGATGCAGACACAAGTAAGCACAGTAAATCTTTGTTTTGGAATTCTTGGTTAAATAAGAAAGAGTAATTGGGATGGAATCTGTCTTGTCAACATGGAAATACCTTGAATCTGTTTTAAAATATTAAAAATACGATATTTAGGTGGAAAATGTTGCAAATATTTACATCGGAAAACAACGGTAGATCAGTTAAAGTTATACAAAAAATAACCACTCTTAACAAACTTTATTTATCTAATTAATTTATTATCCCTTCTTTATTAAACTTATAGTGGCTATTATGCATATAAATCAATAATTTAATAAATTCAAAAGGCAAAGATGCAAACAAACAAAAAATCCACTTCCCTGTTATCTCCTTGTTTTGTCATCTCTTTCTTTTTTTTCAATTCCGTGAAATTTTAACGTTGTTAGTTATTTTACTTACTGTTAGTACCACCAACATGCCATTGACCCAAAATTCCAGGTGGTGTGCTTACTTCTGTTGTAAAATCTTCAACAATATCTTGGGATATGGGATAATAGTTCGCCGTTGGATCTATTGTAAGTAATTATATGATTTAGTATATATGATGTATAATTGAATAGATATGATGATAAAGGGTTAATTTTAATGAAACAGTAGCCTAACTGAACGGTTAAAACATTTTTTTAGATATGCCAACACACGTTCCCCCTACAATCACCTATATACTTGACTCCAAAAAATGATCATATTACAAAGTTTACCAAGTGTAAGTTCTCGTTTTTCACATTTATGGCAAAATGAGGAAATCACATACATATTCATACAAATATACACCCACACTTGACCATGGGAGTATCAGTTTCACTGTTCATTCAGCTTTATCCACATATATAAATGATTTCTCGTTGCAAAAATTGTAAGTCTTTTCAAAATTGTAAAACTCGATGAGGACGACCAAGGTTTTATTTTCCAAAAAAAAAAAATCATATTTCTGACAAAAAGTATAGACATATGTAACTCATATACTATTTATTTTTTTTAAAAATAATTTTAATCGAATCGTCATTTCGATATATCAAGAAAAAACACACATACATTGACAAAGAAATGGACTTGTTTCCGTTGCTCGTCTATTATCCCAGTCAAAGCCAACAGTGTAAACAAGTTTAACATGTTGGTTAAGAGCCAATGATGATGGCGCTCCAGGAATCCATGCTGTTTCCGTTAGATCTGTTCCGTCATTCCATTGGAATGTAATTCCATCTGTTGACGTAAGTCCAATCCAGAAGTCTTTATTATTGTCCCTGTAACATATTTTCAAAGATCATTTAAAACTGGCAAGTCCTGAAACGATAATCGTTATATCAAAAGTTACCAGATTCCTCTCGCAGTGCGAATTGAGTAATTATTGATCTCCGTTCCATTCCATTATCGCATCAGTAAGCAAGGATTTTAGAATTGCAAGTGGAACCAGTTAGTCCAGTTACTTAGTGTAAACGGCGGTAAAATTCGTGATTCCTTTTGTACTGAGGTAAAAAGACGGAAGATTAATCAATATTGTCTTGATTTTCACCGTGTAGGGTGTCTATGCGTATAATTAAAGTGTCTCGGTAGGATTTTCACATGGTAAGGAGTGTCTACTTACAAATAGAGTGGAAAGTTGGTAGAGAAATTATATTTTAATTTAATGAATGATCAAATAAATTTTAGTAGAATTGTTGTAACATGTTTCAAAACGAGTTAATTTCTGGTACACAATTAAGTGTATGTAAAAATAAAAAGTTAGGATCTGTTTTCAGTAGTTATATAACTTACATTCCCTGGTAGACAATTGCATTCTTTGCAACTGTGAACTCTTCATTTGTGTGTAGCATGGCCAGCTCTAATGCATTCATTTCACAATCCAGTTTAGCAGTTTGATAATCAACGGAGTAACTCATCGGGTTATAATTATCTGCATTCAGAAATAAAAGACTGGTAAGAAAACTCAATGAAACAATATACAGACAACGGTAAGAAAACTCAATGAAACAATATACAGACAACGGTAAGTAAACTCAATGAAACAATATACAGACAACGGTAAGAAAACTCAATGAAACAATATACAGACAACGGTAAGAAAACTCAATGAAACAATATACAGACAACGGTAAGAAAACTCAATGAAACAATATACAGACAACGGTAAGAAAACTCAATGAAACAATATACAGACAACGGTAAAAAAACTCAATGAAACAATATACAGACAACGGTAAGAAAACTCAATGAAACAATATACAGACAATACATTATACTGTATAAAGTAGTTGGTCAAAACTCTTGATTAATTTGCACACAAGTTGACGGATTCTTTTCTAAAATTCAAAGTATCCTACCTTGATGTGCGTACTCTGTGGTTCAGACAACATGTCACAACTATGTAAAAAATGTTTCAAGATGGCTAAAAAAATATAGAAGGTTGATAAAAGCTTTTGGAATTCAAACATGAAAGAGTACTTTAAAGATTTTTCCTTCGTATAATATGGTTCCATTAAATCAAAATGTTATTCAGTGTCATACATTTCTGCTGAGAGTAGCATTGCACCGTGCAGGGGCGTAGCTAGAATAAAATGATATGCACGCCGAGCGGAACGAGGCAAAAATTTTATTGGACCATTTTATGCAGAAAATGATATTTTTTTCGGTTTTCGGTCATAGGAGGGTTAAAAGTTGTGCTACATAGGACTTATAGACAATTTATGAATGCAAAACTATTCAGAATTCTTTTGAATAGGTTAAATCATGGTAAATTGAATACATAAGCAACACATTTTTGTGAGACAGAATTTACTCAAAATTGTCCAAAATCTGCTCTTCGGGCCTTAGCAGAAACGAACTTCTCCATTACTTTGTCACTATTCACACTGAAATCTGGATGAATATGCATTAATGCTAGCGATGATAACCTATCGTTATTCATGGGTGATCGTACATATGTTTTCAACCGACGTAGTACACTGAACGATCTCTCCGCGGTAGCACTTGTTTCCAGCATTGTCAACATAATACTCAAAATAGTATCTACAGAAGGACTGGGCTTACTGCATCGAGTGTCTCACACAGCGAAGTTGGCATCTGATCGTGAGGTGTTATACACCAGCGTGTTTGCCATCGAGCAACCTCCCGATTGAATTTGTCTAAATTACATGCCAGGTCAGTCTCGTACGTATGTTAGTTAGTCAGCATACCCCCCCCCCCCCCCCTTTTTGAGGGTTTAAATTAAGGTTTGCTGGAAATCAGACTATGAGGTTTTTTTACCCGGGGTATGAAGAACTACGATAAATTCGAGTTCAAACGTTGTAATTTACACAATCTATAGTATAGTAATAATTTGGTTCTGTTATTAACAATTTAATTAAGGAGGTGTGTACTTTTCCAAATTGACTGTTTTTCGAGGTTGGGATTTTCATAAACACTATTTATTTTTTTGCCGGTATACTTTTGACTCAGACATGATTTTTTTTACTATTGAATTTGACACAATTTTAAAGTCATTTCCACATACCCCATCAAATCCAAAGAGTTACCCCTGGCATATGCTATTCCATGATTTTGATTTTTGGGAAACGTTTTACATGTTTTACACACTAAAAGTGACTTGGAAGAATTAAAATCAACATAGCTCGCCGGGAAGTCAAAATTATTTACATCTTTCCAGTCGGATGTTAGTGATTGCATCTTAACTTCTGTCATCTGCAAATTGGAATCGTGCAGACTTGACATGTCTGGTACGGAGGGGTGTTGGCTTTGGAGGTGACGGTCGAAACTGAGCTGGAGCTTGCAGTTGCATTTTCACTGTCATGATTTATTCTATCATACTCTGGCAAGAATTGTTGGGAAATGGGTTCTTCTGAAGAACTTTTCGTTTCTATTGAAATGGGTTTAGTAAAAAAAAAACTGTCAATAGTTTTCCATTTAGCCTTTTCACCTTTTTCGCTACGTTTCGACGTCGTGTCGTGTAACTGTTCAACGCCGGAAATTTGATGTGCTCTTTTTTCACCATGCCGATGTGCACGCAACTGCGTGTTGGCCTATAGGGAGCTACGCGCCTGGCACGTGTGCAATAGTAGTATCTGATTGCTGTTGATGGAGACAATTTTGACCTAATATTACAGATGTTTTTTGTAAAATTTAGCATCGAAGAAAATCTATAACCAAATTGAGAAAATATGTATCTGAAAATGTACTTTCGATGGATAACATTAATTTAAGGATAAAACCTCAACAAATGTCATACTCTTTTTACAATTGCAGTTAACAGACATCCTGAGGCATTTATAATTTGGTTGCTTGTTTAAAAATTCTAGATAAGGATGCAATACTGTAATAATCATTAGAGTAGATGATAGACCTAGCGCGAAATAAATTAGGGAAATTCGGTCAATATCTCTTTCAATTTAAAATTAAGAAATGTGATGACCTTCAGATAAAGATTAATTCGTTTCTTAATGTAGTTTCAAATATTGTATCAAAATTACCTGACATACATGTAGCTTAATAACTTTTTGACTTCATGGAAAATTGAAGAAAAAGATATATAGATATATTATTTGCTCTGCTGAACATTTACATACCGTTGGGTATTATAATTATCAACTTTCTAATATTGACAATGCTAAAACATTCAAACATTAAAGTGGTAAAACGTTTGTTATTTAAGAAATGAATGCTTCTTTTTGTAATTTTATTGGGGTGTAAAAGTGTTGACCGAAGCACATTTTGTATGAAGCGCTTCATTCTAAAAATGAGTGCACGATCAACACTTTTACACCCCAATAAAATTACAAAAAGAAGCATTCATTTCTTATAATTACATTTTTATGTTAATAAGACCATGCGAATGTAACATTCATTTTGATACGAAGGCTAATTTTTGAATGACGCGCTATCGGATTCTCGTGAAACATACATGCAATGTAATCATATTTGAAATAAAGAACAAAACATTACACGTAAGGTGTTCATATTTCATTTGATACAACTATTTTACTGTTGATTCGAATGTTTGAATTTTAAACTTCCTATAATTTTTTTTTGGGGAGGGGTATTTGAACAGTCAGTTTAAGTTCAATTTGAAATCCGTGTATACATTAATAATTTCTCTGTTAGTGCAAAGATCGAATGTGAAATCGTCTATAAGCTATAAAATAGTGTTGCCGTTAATAAAGCACAAAATTCTACGACAGCATACAGTATGACTGAAGTGCATCTCAAAACTGTTACAACTTACACTGACATAATCCGTGAGGAAGTCTGGTAGATTTAGTTTTTGACACCCATGTACCATCGACCTTGTCCACCGCTATAGAGACGTTTGCATCCGGATTGGGAACGGAGTGACCTGGTTTCCAGTCCGTATAAACCACATTTTCGAACATGTTTTGCCAGGTTAAATGTGCTCCATTACCATATAATCCTATCCATACATCACCAGTCAGAGGTCTTACACAAAAACAACATAATTTATTAATACTTTACAGATTAGTCTTGTTTAGTGTGACCCCATACACAATATGCATAAAACTTTCACAATAAATATTTCTGGGAATACATCAAAATATTTCATATCTCATGTGATGCAGAGAAAGCTTATACACTGTTTGCTGCCAAACCCAATTAAATTAATTTTGAAAAAAACAATTGTTTTAACTATCCCTTAATATAATTCAAGTATATACCCTAAAAGAATACACCTCATATCCGAGAAATGAACAGAACAGTGCGTATATTTCGAATGTGAATATGAATCAATACAAAGTTATATGATACAAAAGCTAATTTTATGCACTGTATGCGCATTTTGAAAATTTATTTCTCGTTAGTGACGCTCCATTTCAAATACGAACAATCCTTAAGTATCAAATAATGAGAAATTATAAAACAAAAATAACATAAAAATGCAAAATTCAGCTGAAGAGCGTCTAAGGATTTCCCACCCCATGAATAGAATACCTTAGCTGTATTCTGCTAAATCTTCAGAATGTTTGGCCCCCCAATGCTCTTCAACTTCGATGCTTTATTTGGACTTATTACTTTTTTATTCGAGCGTCAATGCATGATGAATCTTTTGTAGAAGAAACGCGCGTCTTGAGTACAAAAGTATAAGCCTGGTATCTTTGATGAGTTTTTTTATCGGAAGGAAAACTTCAGAATTTTATAAATTTTACTTCTTTCTGCATGATGGAAAAGTTTTAAGTACCGACGTCAAAGTAAAATACCAGTACAAAAGTACAGTGTTATGGTCTCAGAGACTTAGACCCCGTTCACACTAGCTTTTTTTAATCGATCTAAATAAAACCAGTTAGCGTTCACAATATATTCTATCCTAACGATCTCTTTCAGTCTCATCTAAACCACTGCGTTCACACTACAAGTAAAAAGTTTAATCGATCCGACTTATTGCCTGTGAAATTGTAAACACTGTGTAAAAATAGAAATATTAAACCAAATTAAGTGTGTTGATACACACGCTTGCAAAAAATAATGGATGAAGTTATTGTTGTTCAAATGTTGATACTTCTGTTCGTATAGTTTTCGTTAATTTTCAGCCCTTTTATGTTAGTGATCCATTTTGTAATATATTTCGCGTGTAATTTTGCCGCCATACATGCGCACACATTATTTTCGACTCAATCGTACTAGTTTAGATCGATCTCTGCGTTCACATTTAAAGTAAGATCAGTTTACTTTAGATCGATTCAAACTAAACTACCTCTTTTGGTGTTTTAGTTTAGACTGATTCAAGATCGATTCAAAGCGTTCACATTGGGCTTAAATCGATCTAAAGTGAACCGATCTAGTTTAAATCGATCTAAATGTCCAAGTGTGAACGGGGTATAACAGTTGCATGAACAGCAGTTTCTTCGACCATTTGGAAGTAATACATATTTTAAAGATATCAAA